TTGGCTCCATCCAACACCTGTAGGTGGCCCTCAGAAGATCAGTCAGGAGGGAAGGAGGCCATCAAACTTGAAAGGGTTCCATGGCCTTGTTTGACTGCGTTTTGTGCCGTCCCTGCAAGAGACAGGGACAACTCCTGTGGTGTTTGTCTGGACGCCATTTTGCATCCTCCACAACGCCCCGTACCCGGCATCCTTCCAGGGCATTGTGGGGCATGTGTACAGGGGTGAGGATGTCATAAAGAACGACGGAGTTCTTTTATCCCACTTAGGGAGGTGGGATAAAAGAAAAGGAAAAGAGAACCATCAAAGAAAAAGGTCTCGGGGAAAATCTAGGTCGCTTCTGTTTCTTGTACCGAAGCCATTCTGAGATAATCAGTGTGAAATGCTTTGTAGATGCAGGGAAAAAGTCTGTGTTGATGTCAAATACTTGCAACTCCCTCCCATCTTGCTTCAGGCAGGCATTTTGTCTTTTCAGCACCTATCAAAACCTATCCTTTTTCAACAGGCCTTTCAAACAGATGTGGTGGTGTTGTTTTTTAACCCAGCCTGTAATCTGTATTGGCTTTGAAATTGTTCTTATATATGAAATCCTGTTATGTGTGTTTTTGATGCTAAATTGCTTTGAGATGTTTCATAGGGTGTGATTCATAAACGGAATGAATTATTGCTATTATTATTAGCTCCCTTCTCTGCACTATCCAGTGTAACCTCCTTGGCAATTTGTTGGGGCGCCTTGTTTGCTGTAGTGCCTTCCTTTTATCTTGCAAAAAATGGCAATAACCTGATTCCCCACCCTCTATTTGGAAAGCTGTCAACCTTCACTTTTTTGCCAGAAATTCCCTTATTTCAGCGCCGTTTCCCGCTGCTTCTCGCTGCTATCCCGGATTGTTAGATATCCCGTAGACTGTTTCTGGGACAGGTGAGGCTGCTGATCCCTTATTTTCAAATCTGAAAGCTGACAGCTACGTATTTACATTTTGGGATGTTGCAAACATTGAAGGCAGAGAAGCAGTCTGGGCTTCATTCCCATCACTCCTGCAGGAAAAAATCTGCCCCTCAGCTCTAACCAAGGAGCAAAATGCCTTTTGGGTGTTAAGAACTTTTGTTCTGGAAGTGACCTTGTTGAGAGGAATTGCTTTACCATCGCGGAAGCATGGAATGAAGTAAAACAGGCACGAACTCCTGGCAATTGCTATGCCTTTGAAGAGGCCCCTTTGTAAAAGAGGTTGACACTTCCCCAAAAAATGAAAACGGCTCTTCAGATTTATGAGAATAACGCAAGAGCTCCGTTGGTCAGAAGGGCAGTGAGGTTTGCAGTTATTCTGATCATATTGGATCCACCATTTCCCCCACAACAGTGGATTGCTGGGAATGTGTTGGAACCAATCAAAAGAGGCGAGAGGTTTGTTCTGCGCTCTGACCTGATACCTCGTTCATATCTCTGCACAACTATAGCATTTTGAAAGCTGGTTATCCACAGTTTAACTTTGAAAGTATATAGGCTATGGATAGGCACCAGCCACAAGATGTGACATGTATCTATATTTGTAGCTTTGGAAAGCAACCTGATCTGTTTCAGAGTTGCTCTGTGTTTTCCTAATTGGATTCATTATTTCGATATAACTTTCTTTCCCCTTTTTACAAAAGTGCATGAAATTTGCAGGCATAGAAGAGGTGCCAACCAGACTCTGGGCAAATGCATCCAGAGGTCTTTGAGGAGGTGGGGCAGATAGAGTCTTCTTCTTCTTCTTCTTCTTCTTCTTCTTCTTCTTCTTCTTCTTCTTCTTCTTGTTGTTGTTGTTGTTGTTGTTGTTGTTGTTGTTGTTGTTGTTAAACTGTGGAGAGTCACAGATTTTTGACAATGTTCTGCAAACCACCCAAAAATCTACCAGTAGCTCCAGCCTTGCTTTCTGTCTGTCCCTGCTCTGCAAGTTACAGGCATTCTGTGTTAGTCATGGAGGGGGGTTTTTGGCGGTCGTTTTTAAAGAACAAATAGATGTGGAAAAGGTTCCTTGAAGCTAGAAAGTTTGAAAATCTTTTAATTGAGCGGCATTTGCGGTTTCGCTCCGGAGAAATGTTTCAATGTGTTTCTCATTTCACATCAAACGGCATTCTTGAGAATTTGTTTCTTATGGAGTGGGAAAGAACTGAACGGCTTGTTTGCTTTTCAAAATGCTTCCATATGCATGCGTTCTAGAGGAAATCCTTGCGATATTATCTTTCCCCATTTGAAATTTACCTTTTGCGCTCTCTCTCTCTCTCTCTCTTTGTTTAATTCTGACGGCGTATTTATAACTGCGGGCCTCTGTTCGCAAATCAAAAATTTACCCAAGAAACAAACAAACCATTGTATGGAACAATGACTTTAAAAATAGTCATTATCAAAGTAATGAGGCGGAGAACGGTTTATCCCCCCAATGAGGGGGTGGAAATAAGGTTATCTAATTGTTCAGTCAAAAAGAAAGCAGGTCAGGTGGCCTTATAGTGACACAGGGTTTGGAAGGCAGTTGTTCCATTCAGAACTGGCATCAAAGGTCCACATCACTGGACATTTGATGGTGACCCGTTAAGGGATTCACAGAGAAGAGCCCCTCTGAATCTGCTCCTACCCCTCACTTCTTCTTCTTCTTCTTCTTCTTCTTCTTCTTCTTCTTCTTCTTCTTCTTCTTCTTCCTCCTCTTTTGAAATATTTTTATTATTCCCTACACTGTTCTAATGGGACGCGGGTGGCTCTGTGGGTAAAAGCCTCAGCGCCTAGGGCTTGCCGTTCGAAAGGTCGGCGGTTCGAATCCCCGCGGCGGGGTGCGCTCCCGTTGCTCAGTCCCAGCGCCTGCCAACCTAGCAGTTCGAAAGCACCCCCGGGTGCAAGTAGATAAATAGGGACCGCTTACTGGCGGGAAGGTAAACGGCGTTTCCGTGTGCTGCGCTGGCTCGCCAGATGCAGCTTCGTCACGCTGGCCACGTGACCCGGAAGTGTCTCCGGACAGCGCTGGCCCCCGGCCTCTAGAGTGAGATGGGCGCACAACCCTAGAGTCTGTCAAGACTGACCCGTACGGGCAGGGGTACCTTTACCTTTACTTTTTACACTGTTCTAACCTGCATGTTCACCCACCTTTTCTTTTCTTTTCTTAAAATTTATTTATTTGGTTTCTCAAATTAAAATTTTGCAGAGGTATATCAAACATAAATCATAAAAACAAGATTCCAAGGAATCTCCTGGAGTTTGCGGGTCCTATCATTAAACAATTCCTCCTGCATCTTTTATGATAATCCAAACCCTTTACCTCTTCCATTATGTCCAGAATTAACCCTAAAATACAAGTGATATTCCTATCCTACGTTTAACTGTTTGCAATGGTCTTTAAGGTAAGTTTTAAAAAATTTCCCATCCCTTGTTAAAATTTTGGTCTTCCTTATTTCTGCCTCTTCCGGTCATTTTAGCCATTTCTGCATAGTCCCGTAACTTCATCTTTCATTCTTCTCCGATAGGGACTTTATCTTCTTTCCATCTCTGGGCCAATAACATCCGTGCAGCCGTGATCACATACATAAATAGTCTTTTCTGTTCCTTTGGGATTTTGGCACCTAGAATTCCTAAAAGGAAGGCTTCAGGCTTTTTAAAAAAGGTTATTTTAAACATTTTCTTTTCAACTCATTATATATCATTTCCCAAAATCTTTTTACCACCTTACAGTTCCACCACATATGATCAAATGTTCACCCACCTTTTCCTTTGGGCCAGACAGGTGGTGGTGTTGAGCTGCTAGGAATCACAAGAGCTTAGGATGGGAGAACGCAATGATGGATCAGATGGGTCTTTGGCCAGATTCAACAGGGCTCTTCTGATGTTGTTCACAACATCGGTCCTTCTCATTCAAAGAGCTGCCAACTGGCCTTGCCAACAACGCCTAGGCTTTCAAATGTCACATCAGCAGTATGGAATTAAGCTGCTACATGTCCAAGCACAATTCAAAGTGTTGGTGCTGACCTTGAAAGCCCTAAACAGCCTCGGTCTTGTATACCTGAAGGAGTGTCTCCACCCCCATCGTTCAGCCCGGACACTGAGGTCCAGCTCCGAGGGCCTTCTGGAGGTTCCCTCATTGCGAGAAGTGAGGTTACAGGGAACCAGACAGAGGGCCTTCTCGGTAGTGGCACCCACCCTGTGGAACGCCCTCCCATCAGATGTCAAGGAAATAAACAACTATCTGACTTTTAGAAGACACCTGAAGGCAGCCCTCTTTAGGGGAGTTTTTAATGTGTGATGTTTTACTGTGGTTTTATTATTATTATTTTATTAGATTTATAAACTGCCCTTCATCATAAGATCTCAGGGCGCTTCACAGAATAAAATACAGGATAAAAACCAGTAAATAAGTAAAACAAAACAGCAAAACAATAACCCCTCCTTCCCACAGACACATTTAAAAAGCTGTAGAGTATCATTCAGCCAAAGGCCTGTTTGAAGAGCAACATTCTCACCTGGCGAAATAATTTGCTGGAAGCCACCCAGAGTGGCTGGGGCAACACAGTCAGATGAGTGGCATATAAATAACGTATTGTTTGCTCTATAAGACTCACTTTTTCCCTCCTAAAAAGTAAGGGGAAATGTGTGTGCGTCTTATGGAGCAAATGCAGGCTGCGCAGCTATCCCAGAAGCCAGAACAGCAAGAGGGATTGCTGCTTTCACTGCACAGCGATCCCTCTTGCTGTTCTGGCTTCTGAGATTCAGAATATTTTTTTTCTTGTTTTCCTCCTCCAAAAACTAGGTGCAGCTTGTGGTCTGGTGCGTCTTATAGAGCGAAAAATATGGTAAATTATTATGATTGTGATTTTTGCTAGGAAACAGAAATGACATTTGAAGGGACTTTCCTCACACTACTTAAAATGCTTATGGTCTTCCACTGCGAAAATTAGATCGAAAGAGCCTTTGGGCATTATCCAGTTGTGAAAATATAACCGTGTCCCAAACGTGTGCACTCCCCCCCCTCTTCTTTGCTCAGGTTGGCTGTTACCTGAAGACCCCCAAGTTCCCAATCTGGGTTGTGTGCAGCGAAAGCCATTTCAGCGTGCTCTTCTGCTTACGGAAGGATCTGCTCGCGGACTGGAAAACCGAGAGGCGATTTGACCTCTATTACTACGACGGCTTAGCCAATCAGCAAGACGAGATCCGTCTAACCGTCGGTAGGGAGACAAACAAAAGATTGAAACTGGGGTGGGCGTGTGATTTTTAATTGTGCATTTCATGAAGAGGCCTAGGGTGCCTTCAGACGTCTCATTCCTGATTTTCCAAACCATGTTTTGGAAGGCAAGGACAAGTTCTGTGAGCTCCATTTCTCCCTTTCTCTTCCCTCTTGGCATGCCCAGCTGAATAAGTTTGATCAAACCACAGTTTACTTTTACATTTGAGCCAGCAAACTATGGTTTAAGACAACTTTTCAAACCATGATTTGATCCTGGTCTTCAGTTCTGGTTTGAAGGACTCACTCCATTACATCATCCCAGTTCGCACAAAAAGCAGGTGAAATTGTGGAATGAGCCTCACCTGCTTAATTCTTGCACATCAACCTGCTGCTACAAGTTATTGGAAAAACAGTTGGCAACTCCTAGCTTAAATTCTTCCCATATTGCATTGCTTAGTCTCACTGTCATGAAATTTGCGAAATCCTATTTCTGGATAACCATTCAAAACAGATGCAATTTCACGGTGGCATCCGTCAACTCTCCTTATTTACCATCCCAGACTCCTTAAACTTCGGGTCCCTCCAAGTGGTTGACTACAACTCCCATCATCCCCAGCCCAGTGGTCATGGATGATGGGAATTGTAGTCCGTAGCTTGAGAAAAGCTGCTTCCTGCTGACTTCCTGCAGCTGTGGTTCATGTACTAGGTTTCACTTCAGACGCCTTCATAACTCTGGCTTTTTTTACAGTTTTCACCCCCAGCCTGCTGCCATGGTACCTGCAAGGCTCAAACTTTTCCAGCCCTTTCCTTGTTCTTCGGCGTATTGTCGCATCGCAGTTTGAACGGAGGAAAACTCTTTGCTTTCATTCCAAATGCACCCACGCGTCTAACCATGCTGGCAACCCCGGCTGCCAATAGCTCCAGAGCTGTGGGCTGCTATTCATAGAGGAACGGCAAGGGAGAGAGGCAGTGGGTGTTATGAAATAGAGAGCTGTCGTTCAGCTGACGGGAAAACGAAGCCGCAGGGGAGTGGAATTCGGTGCTGAGCTCTGAAATTCTCCCCCACCTCCCTTCTGGTTTCCAAAAGCATTTGACCTCCCCCCCCAGGGCTGGGCCCTGCCTGCCTCTTTCTCCCTTTATCATATTGCCAGAAGGTGGCTTCAGTGGCCAAATTCAGGGCCCAAATAGATGGCGCTTCAGTTTCATGGCTGGCAGAACCGCCTGGCTTTTATATTAAAAAGTCCCAGTTCCCTGCCTGGCCGGAGGATGCGATACTTTTCCGTACTGCAACACACAGGGAGGGGATGCTTAACCCTTCCCTCCCCAGCCATGATCCTGCTAAAAATCCCACCACCCACCCACCCTCCTTTGCACAACAATTAGCATGAGGAATCTTTAAGTTGTATTTTAATCAATTGTTTTAATAGCTGCTGTTAGCCACCCTGAGCCCGGTCTTGGCTGGGGAGGGCGGGGTATAAATAAAATAATTTATTATTATTATTATTATTATTATTATTATTATTATTATTAAAAACATTTGCATATGTCCCCAAAATGATGGGCTACAGAGCTTTCAGGAAAACTGGCCAAGGAAGTTAAAGCTCTAGCTAGAAAAAGAGAGAAGGATTTTATAGAGACAGAATGCTTTTGCCTGGCTGGGATAAGTCTTTGAATTCTGAAGCTGCCTCTTGCTTGCCTGGGTGATGGAGAGATGTTTATGTCTAGAAACCTCTGCCTTGCTAGCTCAGTCGGTAGAACATGAGACTCTGAATCATAGGGCTATGGGTTCGAGTCCCATGTTGGGCGAAAGATGCCTGCATTTCAGAGGTCGCAGTTGCTGCTCTGCTTGCTTTTGCCTCTGGTCACGCTCACCAAAGGCGCCCCCAAAATGTTGCCCCCGGGCCCATCTCCTGTGGGGGGGGGGGCGAGTCCCACCCCTGCTTTTTCCTCTGTCAAAGGGACAATCAAATTTCTCCAGCCCGAAGACAGGAAAGGGGAAATTCCTTTTAGCACACAGCAACAGGGCCAGATTCAGACATGCTGGAATCAAGTACTTTTCCAAAAAAACAACAACCATACTTCTTTTTGTTGGGGATAATTCAGATGGAAATTCCCAGGTGTCAAAAAAGGTTATTTATGTATGCCACTAAAAGGGACGCGGGTGGTGCTGTGGGTTAAACCACAGAGCCTAGGGCTTGCCAATCAGAAGGTTGGCGGTTCGAATCCCCATGACGGGGTGAGCTCCCTTTGCTCGGTCTCTGCTCCTGCCCACCTAGCAGTTCAAAAGCATGTCAAAGTGCAAGTAGATAAATAGGTACCGCTCCAGCGGGAAGGTAAACGGCCTTTCCGTGCGCTGCTCTGGTTGTGCCAGAAGCGGCTTAGTCATGCTGGCCACATGACCTGGAAGCTGTACGCTGGCTCCCTCGGCCAATAAAGCGAGATGAGCGCCGCAACCCCGGAGTCAGTCACAACTGGACCTAATGGTCAGGGGTCCCCTTTATCCCCCTATGTATGCCACTACTGCGACCCGTGTTTTGTTAGCCCAAGAATGGAAAACGAGCGAGGTCCCAACTAAAGAGGGTTGGCAACTTAAATTGATGTAATATGTGCAACTTGCAGACCTAACATATAGAATAAGAGAACAAGAAGAACAAGGATAAAGGAAATTGAAACATGTTTATTTATTATATGGGGGGGAATTGTGTACACTTGAAAACGTTGGCAGCATTAAGATAAATTCAACAGTGTAAACAAGTTTTGATGGATGGAATAATGGTATACTCAATGGTTTAGTTTATGTAAAATATGCAGGGATTTATGATATATGCAAAATGAACCACGGAAAGAGAAGAAGGGAAGTCGTTGACATTTTAAGGTTGTTTAAATGAACATACCAAATTGTAAAACAGAATATTTAATAAAATTATACCCAAAAAAAGACATGCTGGAACCCTAAGCTGAGTCAAGTTTAAGAGGCCCCATAGCACCACCAGAAAATGTGCATTATTCTGACAGAAACGACAATGGAAATAGAAACAAGAAAGCGATAAATTTGCACATATCCTGGTGCACAGGCAAGGGTGCAACTAAAAAATCAGCAGCCTAAGTAAAACCTAGATGAGACTGAAGGATGATTTGGGTCAGCCTTTCCTCAGGTTAAGACAGGGTGTGGTCTTGACCAAAACACTGGGCCTAAAGAAATTCTGCTGTAAAGCAAGTCTTATTTTTACACAGGTATCCAAACACAATATAACAAAGTAATCGTGCAGCCGTTAAGTATGCTTGATTCTCTCACACGCAACGTTAATGGATGTCTGATTTGTTCCCTGTAGATACCTCACAGCCTTACATCGAAGGAAAGGATAATGACCTCATCCCTCCGCTGGAACACTGCATTCGGACCAAGTAGGTGAAATCCAGCATTAGGGAAGGGAGAGCCAACGTGGTGTAGTGATTAAGAGTGGTAGATTCGTAATCTGGTGCACCGGGTTCGCTTCCCCGCTCCTCCACATGCAGCTGCTGGGTGACCTTGGGCCCGTCACACTTCTCTGAAGTCTCTCAGTCCCACTCACCTCACAGAGTGTTTGTTGTGGGGGAGGAAGGGAAAGGAGAATGTTAGCCGCTTTGAGACTCCTTAAGGGGAGTGAAAGGCGGGATATCAAGTCCAAACTCTTCTTAATCATCTTCTCTTCCACTTACCAGAATTATTTTGTTGTGTTCATATTTTTTCAAGCGCGTTGCATGTCTTCAGTGCCAGTCCCTTCTTTTAGAAGAGTGACTAGTAGGGTGCCACAGGGTTCTGTCTTGGGCCCGGTCTTATTCAACATCTTTATCAACGACTTGGATGATGGACTCAAGGGCATCCTGATCAAATTTGCAGATGACACCAAACTGGGAGGGGTGGCTAACACCCCAGAGGACAGGATCACACTTCAAAATGACCTTGACAGATTAGAGAACTGGGCCAAAACAAACAAGATGAATTTTAACAGGGAGAAATGTAAAGTATTGCACTTGGGCAAAAAAAATGAGAGGCACAAATACAAGATGGGTGACACCTGGCTTGAGAGCAGTACATGTGAAAAGGATCTAGGAGTCTTGGTTGACCACAAACTTGACATGAGCCAACAGTGTGACGCGGCAGCTAAAAAAGCCAATGCAATTCTGGGCTGCATCCATAGGAGTATAGCATCTAGATCAAGGGAAGTAATAGTGCCACTGTATTCTGCTCTGGTCAGACCTCACCTGGAGTACTGTGTCCAGTTCTGGGCACCACAGTTCAAGAAGGACACTGACAAACTGGAACGTGTCCAGAGGAGGGCAACCAAAATGGTCAAAGGCCTGGAAACGATGCCTTATGAGGAACGGCTAAGGGAGCTGGGCATGTTTAGCCTGGAGAAGAGGAGGTTAAGGGGTGATATGATAGCCATGTTCAAATATATAAAAGGATGTCACATAGAGGAGGGAGAAAGGCTGTTTTCTGCTGCTCCAGAGAAGCGGACACGGAGCAATGGATCCAAACTACAAGAAAGAAGATTCCACCTAAACATTAGGAAGAACTTCCTGACAGTAAGAGCTGTTTGACAGTGGAATTTGCTGCCAAGGAGTGTGGTGGAGTCTCCTTCTTTGGAGGTCTTTAAGCAGAGGCTTGACCACCATATGTCAGGAGTGCTCTGATGGTGTTTCCTGCTTGGCAGGGGGTTGGACTCGATGGCCCTTGTGGTCTCTTCCAACTCTATGATTCTATGATTCTATGATTCTAAGATACGTGCTTGCAGCCAATTAGTCCTTTTGGTATGACTTCATAGTCAGATGGTAGTTGGGAAGTCTTGCAGGCCGAAAATGCAGGTGGCATCTCTCAGTTCCACGTCTCCCAACAATGCCGGCTAAATTGCACACTGCTGAGCAAAGGGCGATATCTGCAGCCTATGTGTGATTTTCAGAGAACTTGAGGAGCCCTTTTCAGCTGCCATTAAAGCCTTTGTTCAAACATCGCAACCTGTTTTGTTGCTAATACACCTGCCTAATTGTCCCCTTCCTCCTTTAGACTCTCTTTTCTTTACACTTTTATAATTTCCAGAAGGTTAGATAAAATAACTGTCGTCTGCAAACACACACTTTCGTTTATGTATTTATCTTTGTCCTGCTGTAATCTCTGTTCAAACAGATTCAAGGGGTTTTTAAATGCTTCAAAAACCTGGCGAACTTGTTTGGCCAGAGATAATGCGACCAGAAGCCAATTGGGGTTCCTCTTCAGAACATCCGAAAACTTATCTGATATGTTACCCAAATATTCAGCCTTCACAGTTCATGTGCGGACAACACACCAACTCTCTCCACTCCTCTACAAGAGACTTTTCTTTTCCTTGGCAGGGCTCCTGTGCTTTTAACAGTTGCATGACAGCCAGAAATTCAACAGGCACTGTTTTTCCTCCAGCACAGATCTGATGGCAATGGGGAATCCTTGCACAATGAATGTTTTGCCTGCTCCTCCCATGGAGGATTGGGACGTGGGTGGCACTGTGGATTAAACCACAGAGCCTAGGACTTGCCGATCAGAAGGTTGACGGTTCGAATCCCCGCAACGGGGTGAGCTCCCGTTGTTCGGTCCCTGCTCCTGCCAACCTAGCAGTTTGAAAGAACAAAGTACAAGTAGATAAGTAGGTACCGCTCAGGCGGGAAGATAAACGGCGTTTCCATGCGCTGCTCTGGTTCACCAGAAGTGGCTTAGTCATGCTGGCCACATGACCCGGAAGCTCCCTCGACCAATAAAGTGAGATGAGCGCCACAACCCCAGAGTCGGCCATGACTGGACCTAATGGTCACAGGTCCCTTTACCTTTACCTTACCCATGGAGGATTAACAAAACATTTTGTTATTTTGTGCGAATTGATAAATGGTGTGATGTTGTCATTTTTATGGGTGGCATTTCATGTTAGTCCTACTTTGATGTGTGACTAATTTAGTAAAGGGACCCCTGACCATTAGGTCCAGGTGAACCAGAGCAGCGCACGGAAACGCCATTTACCTTCCCGCCAGAGTGGTACCTATTTATCTACTTGCACTTTGATGTGCTTTCGAACTGCTAGGTTGGCAGGAGCAGGGACCAAGCAACAGGAGATCACCCCGTCGCGGGGATTCGAACCGCCGACCTTCTGATCAGCAAGCCCTAGGCTCTGTGGTTTAACCCACAGTGCCACCCGCGTCCCTTTTGACTAATTTAGTAGGCCTGACTAGGCTCATTGATTTCAATGGATTTGGGATACGCTATGTTTTTTAATGTGTTGCAAATCCCTAAGAGCAAACCCTTCTTCTGGGGCGTCTCCTGTCATCCTCCTCTGACATGTATGAAATGAAAAACAGGGAGACACGACCCACACCCCTTCCTCGTGCTGCTTCCAGCCTCAGACTGCATTGCAACTCCCGTCACCTGTGCGAGAAGCTCAGTTCTGATCCGAGAGACGAAAGGAATGTGCCTTTCTCGACTTTTCCCCCCAGAATGTCATGTGGCTGTAATGTATTCCATCGCCCCAAGGAATAAAAAAGAGAGGGAGAGAGAGAGAGAGGTTCATATCACACTCCTGATCCTCCTGTTGTTTACTGTCTCCAGCAAGAGGAAATAACTTCTGTTAGCTCTGCCCAAGGGTAGGCTGCAGCTTTGATCTCGCCGTGATCTCTAAGGCACCCGTCTTATTTTGTTAACTCCTGAGGCCTGCCTCTCCTGGAATTCCCTTGGCTTGGCTGCATATCTCTGGAATGCAAAGGTTCTATTCCAACCCTCCCTGCGATGCTCTTTTGCTCAACGTGGGGCTAAGAGTCTCATGCACTACCGACGGAGATATCCCAGGTCAGCCTCCCCACAACCTGGTACCTTCCAGAGGTTGTCAGACTACAACTCCCATCTGTCAGTACGCCTTTCGACCAATGTCAGCGACTGGGCTCAACAACTGGTTCTGCCCCGACTGGGCAACGCGACTGGAGCACCTTCAGAGACCTTCCAGTTCTGGAAAGAAGGTCCCAATGCACTGGACCCACAACTGTGCATTGTGAGCACCAGACTCGTGCAAAGTATAAATAACGCGGAAGCTAGCTGTGAAGCATAACTCCTTTTATTTCTAATAGCTACTACTCCTCTTCGTGACCCTATGGACCAGAGCACGCCAGGCACTCCTGTCTTCCACTGCCTCCCACAGTTTGGTCAAACTCATGTTTATAGCTTTGAGAACACTGTCCAACCATCTTGTCCTCTGTCGTCCCCTTCTCCTTGTGCCCTCCATCTTTCCCAACATCAGGGTCTTTTCCAGGGAGTCTTCTCTTCTCATGAGGTGGCCAAAGTATTGGAGCCTCAGCTTCAGGATCTGTCCTTCCAGTGAGCACTCAGGGCTGATTTCCTTAAGAATGGAGAGGTTTGATCTTCTTGCAGTCCGTGGGACTCTCAAGAGTCTCCTCCAGCACCATAATTCAAAAGCATCAATTCTTCGGCGATCAGCCTTCTTTATGGTCCTGCTCTCACTTCCATACATCACTACTGGGAAAACCTTAGCTTTAACTATACGGACCTTTGTTGGCAAGGTGATGTCTCTGCTTTTTAAGATGCTGTCTAGGTTGTCTGTCAGAAGATAGGTTCAGGACAATCATCTGACCCTACAAATACGTAGTGGAAATCACGGAAGTCAGACGATTCCTGCATCCCGTTTATTTGCACATTAAAAACAACGTATGCAGAAGCAAAAGCCAAGCAAACATGTGACACAAAAGCTGCATGATCTGCAACAGGGTTTCCCAAATGTGAGTCGCCAGTTGTTTTTGGACTACAACTCCCATCATCCCTAGATAGCAGGGCCAGCGGCTGTGGATGATGGGAATTGTAGTCCCAAAACAGTGGGAGACCCACGTTTCTACAACATCTGTGTGCGGAGTTACAGTGGGAAGAACAGAGACCCGGAGAGGCCTTTGTGTCTTTAAAAAAACAGATACGTGTTTGGAGGACATAAAAGAAGCTAAACAAGATGTGCAGTTGGCATTCCCGGACTGACTCCCGAGTCAATTAAGGCGGCAAACCTGCACTGTTACAAAAGCTTTTAGAAGCGAGAATTGACTCTCCATTGAACTCCCAAGTGTATTTCAAGGATTCTGGCTCCTCGCTGGAGCTCCTTTGAAGTCATAGCCATAAATAAACATGACTGTCAAAAGAGTCCTTAAGAGAACAATCGGTCCAGGCTGATTCAAGCCTCGGGGCACTTTTGTGAAGGCCACCGGCAGGAAGCGTTTGCTGATGAGCTCCCATTGTAATGGCGGTTCATGTGACGTCATCGTTGGGCCGAGGCGCTCCTCCTGAGAGGGTTCGCTCGCCTCATTCAGTCGCAGAATCTTGACTCTCAACTCAGGAACAACAGTTCCGTTTTGTAAGGCGAGTGAGAGGCGACAGGATGGTAGCAGGGCATGGAAAAAGTGAATAGAGAGAAGTTTTTTCTCTCCCTCTCTCGTGAACATCTAGCAAGGCCAGATTAAGTCCTTTAGAGGTCCTAAAACATGGGTAGGCAACCTAAGGCCCGGGGGCCGGATCTGGCTCAATCGCCTTCTAAATCTGGGACTCAGCGTGTTTTTACATGAGTAGAATGTGTCCTTTTATTTCAAGTGCACCTCTGGGTTATTTGTGGGTCCTGCCTGATGTTTTTATATGAGTAGAATGTGTCCTTTTATTTAAAATGCACCTCTGGGTTATTTGTGGGCCATAGGAATTCGTCCCCCCCCCCAATATAGTCTGGCCCCCCACAAGTTCTGAGGGACAGTGGACTGGCCCCCTGCTGAAAAAGTTTGCTGACCCCTGTCCTAAGGGCTTAAAAGATTTTGGTGCCCCTGTATATATCTGATTCGAAATATAAACAACAATAAAGCTTAAAATAAAATTTGATTTTTCGAAATGAAACGAAACCTACAGTAAGAGGGGAAATAATGCTCATTTTGGTGTATTTGTATAAAATAACGTTTATTTTTGTTCAGCTGCGCCATTATTTTTGTTCAGCTGAGATTCCTGTATTTTCAGGGGTTGGACTAGATGACCCTTGGTGTCCCTTCCAGCCCTGCAACCCTGTGATACAGTCCATGGTAAATCCAGCAACGGGAAAATATCTGGGGTGCCGCCCTTCCCTTGATGCCCTGAGCACGGGCTTGTTTTGCTTAAAATGGCGAATCTAGCCCTGATGTCCAGGGAAGCTGAATGCTGGACATTCGAGGCAGACAAAAATAAAGTACTTCTGGACGCAGCACTTAGTTAAACTGTGGAACTCACGTTCACAGGAGGCAGTGATGGACAGCAACTTAGATGGCTTTGAAAGAGGACTGGCCGAGCTCACAGAGGAGGAGAGGTCTGTTGACGGATGCCAACCATGGTGGCTATGCTCTGGCATCATAGATTCGTGGAATTGTAGAGTTGGAAGGGACCCCAAGGGTCATCTAGTCCAACCCCTTGCAATGCAGGAATCTCAGCTAAAGCATCCATAAAGGTCCATAAATAGCAACACCCTAGGAGTCCCGGGCCCTAAGGAAGTCAGATTCGCCTCAACCAGAGCCAGGACCTTTTCAGCACTGGCCCCAGCCTGGTGGAACGCTCTGTCTCATGAGACCAGGGCCCTGCGGGATCTGATTTCTTTCCGCAGGGCCTGTAAGACAGAGTTGTTCCGCCTGGCCTTTGGCTTGGAATCAACTTGATCTCCTCCCCCTCTTTCCTCTTTCCTTTCTCCTTCTGTGATGGAACTCCTATCTGGGGACTTCCCTGGCTTTTTTCTGGCCCACATAGGACCAGCCTGCATAGTTGGCCTTGGTGAAGATTTGACGTTTTCATCCCCAAAGAAGTTTTTGATTTGAGTTTGAAATGAGGCTGCATTTTAATCTTGTTTTTAAGTTGTATTTTAATCATTTGTTTTTATACCTGGTGTTAGCCGCCCTGAGCCCGGCCTTGGCTGGGGAGGGTGGGTTATAAATAAACTATTATTATTATTATTATTATTATTATTATTATTATTATTATTAAACCTCAAAGGGAGGAGAGCCAGAGGCAAGTCATGCTTCTGAATACCAGGAGGGGCTTTTGTGCTCAGATCATGCTTGCATTGCACATCTCCTCAGCATTTGGTTGTCCCGTGTGAGAACAGGATATTGAACTAGATGGGCCTGATCCTGCATGTTGTTTTTCACGGTCAGCTGTTAATTTCTCCTTCAACTGGTCCTCGCCAGTCTTGTGGTAATTCCACCTTAAAACCCATCCAAGTAAACAATTCTGCTTTGCCTTTAGGTGGAAAGGCGCCGTCATCGACTGGAACGGTACAGAACCCATCCTGTGATCGCGGCGGCTCACAACGACTGAGAACCAGCCCGTTCCCACAGCGATAGGAAAACCCCGCAAGGTGCCGTGTGTGCTGCCATCGCACGCGACGAGGCCGAAGGACGTTTCAGGATTCCATCTGGCGCGCCGCGCGCTCCTCCTTCCCATTGTTGTAAACAAGTGGCCGTGCGCACTCGCGCATCTGGGCCTGCGCTGCGTGCCGCGTGTGAAAATGGAGAGCCAACCTTGACAGCCAAAACAAGCTGCGGGGAGAGAGCAGTAAATCTGTCAACATCTACTCAAGTTCCGTTTCTGAATCCAATCCACGTCCTGCGATTGTATCTGCTTCTAAACAACGCCGACTGCGCCCACAGTTGGCTCTTTTTCACTGTCTCCGTTCTAAATCAAGGAAACCGGAGTGCACAAGCACACACACAAAAAAATGAGAGAAGAAACTGTTCTTCCTAATGGCGTGATCAAGCATTAGGCTAACTTAGTGGCTCCCCAAACACTCTGGACCAAAGGGTATCACTGCCAACGCTTATTATTATTTTCCCTCTTTTTTACCTCAACCTTTTGTTGGTCCTTTGACTCCTGGCTACCAAGAGACCCAAGTCAAGAGCAGGCATAGTCAAACTCAGCCCTCCAGATGTTTTGGGACTACAACCCCCATCATCCCTGACCACTGGTCCTGTTAGCTAGAGATGATGGGAGTTGTAGTCCCAAAACATCTGGAGGGCCGAGTCTGCCTATGCCTGGTCAAGAGCATTGGTCCTCCCTTATTTCCACCAAGGAAGGCCTCAGTAGGCCCATTTGGAATGCCGAGAAAGTGCCGTGGGTGCCCGTCACAAAATGGCAGCCATTGGGCGGGACGTGACATAGCACAAAATGGCCGCTGTGGTGGTGTGGCGTAATGGCTGCCACTTCTTAGAGAGATGAATACGAAACAGGGTCACAAAATGGCGGGGGCCTACCCCACCGCCAGCCAGCCATCCCATCAATAGGGAAGAAGACGCCACACAGGGTGGGCATCCAATCCTGGCACCCAGTGAAATGTCATGTTTTAAGGGGGCATGTCCAGTATAGAGGAGGCTGAGCCAACACACAGGGGAGCTGAGGTCAAAGAGAATTTTTGAGGTGATATTTATGGAGACCTTTATGGAGGTACTGGTGGGTATACTGGTGCCTGCACTAAGGGGCACCTTATCTAAGCCGCAAAATATTGTTGGACAATGAGAACTATCCGGTTGTAATTCTTAAGCATTAAAGGCCACCCACTGCAAGCCAGGTCACAATACATTGTCGTGAACTGCATCTAAGTGTGCTTTTGAAACAATCTAGATATTAGAATCATGACGGCTGGCTTGCCAAAACATGGTCTTTTTAAGGAGCTGCCAGGACCTGAACTGCGAGTATCCCCACAGCCTATCCGTTCAACTTCCCTAGTCCTGCAGATTTATCCACCAGCCAAACCAAATTGGTGCAGCGAAGACAACTGAGTTGCAAAAATTGAACAAAAGCTTTAACGAGGACGCACCCACAGTGTGTCCCCGCCCCTGCCCAGACTTCGCAGAAGCAGATAAAAAATAGGCGAAAATAAAGGTTTCTTACTCTTCCAAAGACACAATCTTCCACTGGGGAAGGTAGCTAGATTGTCAGCCCCGATCTCAGTGGATAACTGACAATGCAACAAAGCAAGTCCCCCGTAGAAATTCCACCAGGATCCAAGTCAAGAGAGTCACCCAAGCTTCTCTCGCCATCCCTTTTTATGCCATTGCTTGTGCCCCTTTGTCAATCGCTGATTGGCTCTCTAACATTTACCTCCGGGTCTCAGGCACAGCTTCTGTCTGTCAGTCAGAAGCTCCAGGAAGTGTCTAGATCAGGCATCCCCAACCTTCGGCCCTCCAGATGTTTTGGACTACAATTCCCATCATCTCTGACCACTTGGTCCTGTTAGCTAGGGATCACAGGAGTTGTAGGCCAAAACATCTGGAGGGCCGCAGGTTGGGGATGCCTAACCTAGATAGTTATTTGGGTACTTCCTGTGTCAAGGTTCACGTAGTATTCATCAGTGTGAAGAGTGGCCTAAATGCTAACTGGCTCCTCGTTTTCTAGTTTTGCTCCAGCCCAGGAGTGGGGAACCCCAAGTCCTGGGGGCAAATGTGGCCTGCCAGCTCTCTCTGTCTCTGGCCCTTAGGATTCCTCCCCCACCCCAAACAGGGCACACCCCTCACCGGTCCTGCTCTGCACCTTAATAATAATAATAATTTATTATTCGTACCCCGCCCATCTTCCTGGGTTTCCCCAGCCACTCTGAGCGGCTTCCACAAAGACCAAAAATACACTAAGATGTCACACATTAAAAACTTCCCTGAACAGGGCTGCCTTAAGATGTCTTTTGAATGTCAGGTAGTTGTTTATTTCTTTGACATCTGATGGGAGGGTGTTCCACAGGGCGGGTGCCACTACTGAGAAGGCCCTCTGCCTGGATCCCTGCAGCTTTGCTTCTCGCAGTGAGGGAACCGCCAGAAGGCCCTCGGCGCTGGACCTCAGTGTCTGGGCAGAACAATGGGGGTGAAGATGCTCCTTCAGGTATACTGGGCCAAGGCCGTTTAGGGCTTTAAAGGTCAACACCAACACTTTGAATTGTGCTCAGAAACGTACTGGGAGCCAATGTAGGTCTTTCAAGACCAGTGTTACGTGGTCTCAGGCGGCCACCCCCAGTCACCAGTCTAGCTGCCGCATTCTGGATTAGTTGTAGTTTCCAGGTCACCTTCAAAGTTAGCCCCACATAGAGCGCATTGTAGTAGTCCAAGCGGGAGATAACTAGAGCATGCACCACTCTGGCGAGACAGTCCGTGGGCAGGTAGGGTCTCAGCCTGCGTACCAGGTGGAGCTGGTAGATAGCCGCCCTGGATACAGAATTGACCTGCGCCTCCATGGACAGCTGTGAGTCCAAAATGACTCCCAGGCTGCGCACCTGGTCCTTCAGGGGCACAGTTACCCCATTCAGGTGCTTTTGCCTGGCTGGAATCTGTCCCCTTGTTTGCCTGGATAGAAGGAGAGGTGTGTACAGATACCTCTGACTTTTGCAGCTGGAATGTAGCCTATAATAACAAAGTAGAGTCAGGTCCATTGGCCCTTCTACTTTTGCCCCCCAGGAGACAAGCCTCTTTGGCTGAAAATCACCCCCACCACCACTGTCCTACCCTAACTGCAAGCTATATTTCCTGCTGCACTGCAACCAGTTTTATTATTTCAAAAAATGACAACCGCAAAACCTCTTTCCACCTTCCACTGCCTAAGGATGCAGGATCACATTACTGATGCAGATTTATTGGCATCTGTCCGGGAGAGCCAAAGTGATACGTCCTCCATATGTTGATGGACTCCAGCTCCCATCATCCCTGACCGCTGTCCATGGTGATCGGGGAGGATGGGAATTGTAGTCAAACAAAACAGAGGACACGGCTTTGGCTACCCAGTTAATGTTTTGCCAGGGTTCTGAGCTCTGGGACTGGGTCACTCCATTTAAGGGTAATAATAATAGTTTATTACTTATAACCCATCTATCTGGCTGGGTTGCCACTTTGGGCAGCTAGGGGACATCTGAGTCCCTCCAGATCAGGCATAGGCAAACTCCGGCCCTCCAGATGTTTGGGACTACAAATCTCATCATCCCTAGCTAACAGGACCAGTGGTCAGGGATGATGGGAATTGTAGTCCCAAACATCTGGAGGGCCGGGGTTTGCCTGTGCCTGCTCCAGATATTGCTCAAATGCATCTCCCATCACCCCTGGCCATTGAACCAAGGTCTGAAGGGAGTCAGGAGTCCAGTAGCATCCAGAGAGCACGATGGTGGCTATCCCAGTACAGTCATACCTCGGGTTACAGATGCATCAGGTTGTGTTTCTTCGGGTTACAGACCCGCTGAAACCTGGAAGTACCGGAACGGGTTACTTCCGGGTTTCTAGAGTCACGTTTGCGCAGAAATGCTAAATCACGCTTTGCACATGCACAGAAGCATCAAATCACAACCCGCATGTGCATAGACGCGCCGCTGCAGTTGCAAGCGTGCATCCTGCACAGATCACATTCACAACCCGACGTATGACTGTATAAATTGCTCCTTCAAGGCCTTGAATCCCTGCAGGAATTTCCGGCAACTGATCCCACCTTAAAGCTGTTGAGAGTTAGCACGTGAAGCTCGATCACAGTGCCGTTAAGGTTGAAGCTAGGCCACAGCGTTGCGAGTTTCCTTTGCCCAGCTGGCAAGCCGTAAGCAGTGTGGATTATGGGCAGGGAAACGCATCTCCAAGACAGTCCTGACTCACACAGGGCATTCCAGCAGACAATATGGCTGGGATTAAGGAGAGAATTTGCCCAGGGGGGGATGCTGATCTCCGTGGTGACCGAAACGTCTAGACTGAAACGTCCCTAGAAGCGTTTCCAGTAATTCTATCAAATGCATTATCTAGGAACGTATCGGAAATAAAATGACAAGAGGTGGGCGGTTTCTCTGGTGGCCTGTCAGTCTTCACTGGTGAAAAGAGCTTCGCCTTTTCCTGATGAGACGCTGCCCGGGTCCTTCTTGTTGGAGCTTGGCTTGAAATGTTCATGGTCAACGTTGGGGCTGGATTCTGTTATTTCGGCGAAGTAGGTTTGGGGGCGGCGGCGGTTGGATGTGGGGAGAAGTCAAAGGACTGCAGGAAGGTTATCTTGTTCCCCGCTTGTGCCTTCAGTTTACCAGAAGTGAAATGTGCCTTTCAGCATATCTTTTGAGTCACACTTTGCTATAATTTCCTTTAAGCAAAGCAAATGCATACAAACTTAGCAGAAATGTTTTCAGCTTAACATAGTTGTACGTGCCTTTGGCGATGCTCCTTGCAGCTCCGGATTTTATTTCTAAAGCAAAATATATTGTACTTAGTGGACATGCCATTTTGTAAATAAAAAAAAGGCCTGAAGATTAACATTAGGCATTATTATTTGTTTTCCCCACAAAAGCAGCAAACGAAGGAATTCAGGGTAGCTCTTGACTGTATTTGTAGCAGGAAAGAAGACTTTCTTCTTTCTTTCTTTCTTTAGGCCATTTGCAGAATTAACAAATGAATCATACCAAATATGTTCAAACTACTGTTAGGAAAGCATTTTCACACACCCTGGACTGCTCTTGCAAATTCTCTTGTCATGGTTTCAAAACACATGAGATGCAGCCCGGGGGCTGAGGAGAAAAATGTTTGAGCTGACAGGGAAGATAAGTGGGGAAGGGGTGATAAAATAAGATGCCTACTTCAGATGTG